GTAGGTGTGAATGTGAGTGTGCTTGGTTGTCTGTCTCTAAGTGTAGCCCTGTGATAGACTGGTTACTTGTCCAGGTGAACCTGCCTACACCCTGAGTCAGCTGGGATAGACTCCAGCCGCCCCGCGACCCTAATGAGGATTAAGCGGTGTATAGATAATGGATGGATCTTTTATACCAATACAGCTTGTAAATGGCTAATTAGCAATAAACAAAATTGTCCATTCGGGTGAGGGCCAGGGCCATCACTAATATTGTATTATCATATCCTGTCATTAAAATTGCATTATTTGTCTCTCTTACAGGAGGCCGTACAAAATGGATTTGTCAGCAAAATTAGATAGGCATGTTTAACTCTCACTGTACGATGCTGTGAAAAACAGTGAACAAGGAATGTCACTTAAAAATGTGAAATTTACTATATTCCTATGGCTAATGTTTTTGACCTAAACATTATTTCTATGTCAGTTATAATACTCAAAAAATCTTATTTAAAATTAGAGTTTTCTAGCTTGATTTTTTTTAAGACTTTGAATCTTTCCTTGAGATGAAAACCTTTTAAGAATTTTCAAGGTATGACCTCCAGAGGGCGCCATTCATTCATAACACAAACCAACCTAAACCCCTGCAGAATAATCAAGTCTATCGTTGAAGGTTTATGAAAATGTAAAAGTTAAACAGGAAGTGTGAGAAGTAACCCTGACTTTAAAACTCTTTTGTAAAAAAATAAATGAAAATAATAAATAATGAAAATCCATGTTTTGTGGCAATTAAATCTGACTAAAATTATTACCTCACATATTCTGCTCACTTTCTGCTAGTAGTGTCTCTACCTGCTAACAGTTTTGGTTTATTTGTCAGTAATTACAGGTTTCTGTCTTAAAAATAATATAATGAAAAATAATTACAATAACTGACATGCAGCAAGGGGTTGCATGGTGGCCCGGTGGTTAGCACCATCACTTCACAGCTAGAAGATCTCCAGTTTGCAGCCCGGTTAGGACAGCTGGGATCTTTCTGCGTGGAGTCTCCATGTTCTCCCCGTGCAGCACAGGCTTTCTCCAGGTTCTCCCACAGACCATAAACATGTTGAGGTTAATTGGTGATTCTAAATTGTCCGTAGGTGTGAATGTGAGTGTGCTTGGTTGTCTGTCTCTAAGTGTAGCCCTGTGATAGACTGGTGACCTGTCCAGGTTTAGATAATGGATGGATGGTATTTAGACAATAAGTAACAGACACTAAAAATGAAAATGAAATGCAACTGCTATGTGTTCTGTACACATCATTAAAAAGTGTAAGTTTAAAATAGATTTTTTCATGATTTGAATGAACCAGTCTTTTATCATGCAGTGCAGAGCAACTTGCCTGGTCCGATACAGAAGCCAGCAATGATGCCGACCACACAGCAGACACTGATGTAGCGCATGAATGATAAGTGAGCCTGCAGACAGAAGAAACAGCACATTAAAAAAGACACTTTGATCACATTTAGTTATTTTCTTTGGTAGCAAACTGACTCCTTTTTAAACACTGCTTCGCACTTCAATCTACTGCTACATGGCAGGTTGGGGGTGCTGGACACTCTATTTTGCCTGTAGCAAGTCTGTGTCACACACATGCACGCACACATGCACGCACGCACACAAACACACACACACACCCACACACACATGCGCACACACCTGTAAAAGGAGGGCTAATGTGATTCCAGTACTGCAGATGCCCATCATGGCAAAGCCTCCAATCATGAGAGGCCTCCTGCCCAGCTTCTCTATGGTGAAACACTATAGGAGGAGACACAGAGCTTATTGTTTAATGGAGACACAATGCACATGAAAAAACATAAACCATAGTGAGCCTTAATAAAAAAAACAATAATAATAATTCAACCTTTGGAAGACACTCTTACTTTTACCAATCTCATTTGAACTGGAGTCAAGACATGCTTAATAGTATGGCATAAAGACTGGATGCAGGGGAAAATCAGCTAGTCTAGCACTTCCCAACATTCAAAAATACACTTACCAACACCTCTAATGCTCATTTATGTTGTATGTTTTACAAGCACTGATATCAAAAATTGTCTGTGAAAAATGTTTCCATCCATTGAGCTCTTCTGTGCATTGTTTCTGGCTTTAGTGTAGGTTGCCAGCTATAGTCAGACATCAAACCAACTTTTGGTTTGGTCCAGTTACAAAGTCAAACCTCACCGTAACAAAAAAACAAAGATGGAAAGAGAATGTGCAGGGATGACACAGTAATCTGACAAAATGCCAATCAAAGATGCATTTATTGAGTTTATTTGGTTCATCAGTTCTATCTTTCTTTTTTTCCTTTATCATGAAGCACCTTGTAAAGTATTTTTCTCAATGAATTATTCCTCACCATATACTATTGTTTACTTCTACACAGAGAATCGAGTATGTTCTGAGTTACAGGTGATAGTAGCTGTACTTTTGAACAGGCAAGCCATTTTACGCTGGTTCCAATCTTTGTATTAAGCTCAGTCAAACACTTCCTGAGTCAAGTTCTGTATGTAACACATAGACATTAGATTGATATCCATCCTCTTATGCTGCATCAAATCAATAGGTTTGGCAAGACTTTGAAGACACAACATCGATACAGTAATAACTGCATCACACTTTACCCCAATGAGTCCAGCGATGATCTCTATAATTCCTGTTCCTGCTGTGGTATACTGGATCTCTGGAGCTGGAATACCTGCATTCTTAAAGATGTCATTGGTATAGAACCAAATCTGTGGTGGAGAAATAAACACTTTAAAATCTGTGAAGTAACATCTACTGTCTTAGTCCTGCTCATCAGTGTACGGAAAGTAGTTCGACACTTAAAACCTTTCTTGGTGTGCATATTATGATATCATAACATGCTGAAGACTTTTCAGTCACTGTGGGCTCTACTTTCCTAACATGTAGCGCACTTGGAATCTTGGAGGGATCGGACAAAATGGCTCATTCCACCTCAGTTCACCAAAGAAAGCTATCTAACCATCTTTAGTTTGACTTTTTTTAAGTGGTGAATGCTGATTGAGTTGACCATGTGTAAAATCTGGGGTCATTAGCTAGCAGTTTTTCAGTTAAAAATTCCTAAAGAGGGGTGAGGTCATGTCCATTTTTACTTCGTTTTCTACTTGCCAATCTGTGGTACGTTTGTTGTGCCATAATTTGTCAGACCAGTGACCCCTTTAAACACAGACTGTGGAGCAGTTTGTTGTTAAATACCATTATTCTGTCTGGTTGCCACTGCTGCCATAATCAGATTTTTTTTTTTTTTAAATCCATGATATATCTTCTATTTATACACACACTAATAGCAGAGGAGTTGTGATGCAAAGTGCTTGCCTGCCCTTGGTACCGACTTGGGGTTCAGTGTCTTAACTCAAGGATACCTCAACACATGGAGAGACAGGGGTCAAGCCACCGATACAAAACAGAAATCGATTTTAACTTTAATGATATGAATACATCGATTGGCTGGCCTCTGGCTAGACATATGTCTACTGTGGAGCCGTCGATGTCCGGTTGTAAAGTTATGAATTTGGCTGATTGGAGCTCTGCTACTAAATACGACTGCTCCAGTTTTGTGAAATTCCTGCTGTGCCGTATTACGAGAGTAAAGTTTGCTTAATGTGTTTGCTAGCAACAACAACACAATAGCATGGCCAACAGCACCGGTGTTCCAGTTTAGCTGACGATGTTTGCTGCATTTATGCTCTAAATGTTCTGTTCACAGATTTGTCACGACCAGACCTGCCTGTGTGTGAAGGTAAAGATACAACATAAAGAAGACCTCGCCAAAAAACGCAAACATCACTCTTCTACGGCTTCTGGAAGCTTTGATGGAGAGATGACAGGAAGAAAAGAAGGAAGACGAGAACATGGAGCCGTGGTTGGAGGAGAAAAAAGGAGGTTGAGAGAAGGCGCAGCGGCTTCTTCAGGAAACAGCAAGAGTGAAAGTTTGAGTGTCTTGTCTATCCCAGACATTCAATTTGCAAAACTTACAGCCGAGAGACTTTGCTGAACATCAGGGCAATGAACGTTGCTATAATTGTAGCGCTCGGCTGTGATTTGGACATACTACACCAACACGGAGTCCTATCAGAGACTACGCCAGCAGTTACCCGAGAGAGAAGGAAGGAAGCGGTAAGAACGTAAACAAAGGAGGAGGAAGAGAGCCAGGATCCATGCTAGGCTAAAGGCTAACACCTCCAGACCAGCAGGACTGACACTCCTACTGTCCTACGTCTGCTCCCTCGACAACAAGCTGGACGAGCTACGTTTGCTGGGAGAAACCCACAAAGAGTGGAAAGACTGCTGTGTGTTTGTTTCAACAGAAACATGGCTCCATGACAACATCCCAGACGGCCATACAGCTGGAGGAGATGACATCGTTCCAGGCGGACAGACAGGCAGCTAGCTCTGAACTTTTCCAGAGCCGCTGCAGGAGCAGGACACTGAACATTGTCAGGGACTCCTCACACCCTCTCCATGACCTGTTTGAACTGCTGCCATCAGGCAAACGTTTCAGGAACACTAAAGGAAGAACCTCCAGACTGATCAACAGCTTCAACAGCTTCATTCCACAATGCTGTCAGAATGCTGAACTGCTGATCCGGATATGGAAACACTTCTTTATTTGATTGCTTTTAGTTTTTGGATTCTGAAGAAACGCTCTCTCATCTTGTTTGTACTAATATTGTATGTACAGAAAAATGACAATGAACTTGATTTGATTTGATTTAATAAAGTCTATATCCATGTCAATATCATCTTCAGACAATACGTGCTGGCCAAAATAAAAAACACTGTGCCACCGATCAGCTTGATTAGGATCCTTTTCATTCCTATAGATCTTTTCCATTCTGTCAGGTGTTTAACACCTGGTGCTTATTCAGGAAACATGGCCAGATCAACGGCTGATAGTCACAACTTAACACAGACACACACTGCCCGTTTAATAACGACACAAAACTAATTATTGTCTTACCAAGCACCACCTACAACACAGAAGCACGTTATGTTGTGTTGTGTTAGCCTGTGCATTCAGGTTTGTTCACCGAAACACACAAAGCAGCCTCCCACCACAACAACATGCAGCATATCATTAGTTTGGTTTGATAAAATGCATCAGAGCAAACTGAGGACACGTTGAATGTTTTCAGTTTGCAAAGTTTATGGACTACAATATACTGAAGAGGCTAATGTTAATATTTTCTAATATTTAATACAGCAACAGTCTGTCTTGTCTGTGTGTATTCGAAAAACAAACACAATGACATTGTTCTGACCTGATACATTTCTCCTTAATTTTTTTCACCAAACAAATTGATTCAAACTGCATCGCATCAAATCACATCACAGTGTATTAAAATGTATCGTTGGTGAATTACATCGTCACCCATGTTTCTAGATTCAGGTCGGATCACCTCTTAAGGTAGAGATGAACACCCCTACCGGGCACATATAATATTTAGCTGGAATAACATATTTAATGACTGATATTATCACGTCATGGGAATTGTTTTAATTATACAAGGCCCCATGGAAATATTAAATAAAGTGGTGTGTGAGTATATCACAAAACTTAGTGATTAAGAACAATAACGGGCTACAAAGCAACACCGACGCCCATGGTGAGTGCTGACATCTCTCTGGCCAACGAACTCAACAACTTTTATGCGCGATTCAAAGCTCCCAGCCGAGAGGTGCACATCCTGCCCAGCACAGAGGAGGAGATGCGCACCGTGATGGAGCATGACGTGAGGCAGATGTTTCGGGACCTGACGGTATAACAGGCCGTGTCCTCAGAACCTGTGCCAACCAGCTTGCGCCGGTGTTCACAGAAATATTCAACCTCTCGCTCTCCCAGTGCATTATCCCCAGGGGGCTGTCATTGTTCCTGTCCTCAAGAAAGCCAAGCCCAGCTGTCTTAATGACTACCGGCCCATTGCCCTTACCTCTGTTGTGACGAAATGTTTTGAAAGACTGGTCAGAAATTTCATTGGAATTTCCTCCCAGTGTAAAACACTACTGCTATAAAACTTCCTTTCAATATTAGACATTCTCTTAATTGGCTTTTATTTTATTGTGGTCTTTATGTATCCAGAATGCAGCAGCACGTCTGGTTTTCAATCAGCCAAAAACAGCACGTCACCCTGCTGTTCAGATGGCTTCACTGGCTTCTAGTTGCTACCCGCATCAAATTCAAAACCCTGATACTTGCTGACAAAACCACAACAAGAACACCTCCCTCCTACCTGAACTTTCTCATTCAGATCTACACTCCCTCCCGCTCAACCAACAAAAAAACGTCTGATACAACCACCACAACAGGGCCCAAGGTCGATAACTAGACTCTTCTCCTCTCTTGTTCCGCGGTGGTGGAACGAGTTACCAAACTCTGTTCCATCTGCTGACTCCCTCTCAGTCTTCACGAAAAGACTAAAGACCCAGCTCTTCACTGAACACCTTTGTACTTGACAGCCCGAAAACAAACAAACAAACAAACAAACAAAAAATCCTGTTACCTCCCACACAGCCTGCTATTGGCATCAACGCCCTATCATACTTGAATTTGTTCTATGGCACTTATCTAGATTGTTTTCTCCTGACTAGATCCTTGGTTGTGTTGTATCTGCTCTCAGATGTACGTTGCTTTGGATAAAAGTGAAATTGTAGAAATGAAATTGTAGAATTGTAGAATGTATTTACGAAGTTGGTTTGCTTGGTTTTCATCTTTTTGTATTTTATTTGTTTATATATGTTTTGTCTAGTTGGCTTAATCTTTTGTGTCTTTATGACAGCATTGTTCAGCATTTATTAACTTGTAGCTTTATAAAGAGGCTATATAAATTCAGTTATTGTTATAGACTGTAGCTTCAAATGAAGACGTAAACCTGTGCTCAAACTCCAGACTAAGCCCTCACAAGAACGACACAACTTTAGGAAGTAATCTCCCAAGGCAAATTGGTCCTGGGACAGAGACCAGACAATGAGTCATTCATGAAATCCCATTGACAACAAAGATAAGGAAAAACAACACCTCGCCTGTAAAAGAGAAACCAGGGCCCCCTCCTGGAGCCAGGCCTGGGAGGGGAGTTCTGTATACGAGTGTCTGGTGGCTTAGCCATGGGGCTCAGTTGGGCAGAGGCTGAAGTGGCAACATGAGGTCACCACCGTGAGGGTCTGCAAGAGAGAAAATTGGGGTTAGGTGCTATGCCCACCAGGCAATGGACAGGAGCAAGCACCTAGGTGTGCATCCCCCAGATTGTGTAGACTGGTTGTGGGGAAATGGAACATCACCTCGCTGGCGGAGTAGGATCTTGAGCTGGTGTGGGAGGTGGAGTGGTACTGTAGGTATAGTTTATAATTGGACTCACCCTCATGCACAGCAAAGGTGTCTGAACCAAACTCCTGGAAAGGGGTTGGACTCTTGGGCAATCTTGGACAAATTTTTCAGGTTTGCCCAGGATGAGAGGTATCAGGCGGGTATGGGGATATCTACAAGTCCTACAAATATCTACTCTACCCTGGCAGAGCTGCTTAGGGGGGCATGGGAGTTTGATCAACCAGTCCTGTATTTTGTGGATTGGAAAAAGGCTTACCACCATGTGCCTCAACCATGTCCCTCAGAGCTGTGTTCGCATTCTGGGCACAAATTCAAACACGTTCCTTGTTAGCGTTGGACTCTGCCAAGGCTGGCCATTGTCTCCAATCCTGTTTGTGGTATTCATGGACA